AGTTTAAATTTTCTTCCTGATTTTGAGTATGACAATCCTTGATCCAATGGAAACCTTTGTCACAACACAGACATCTGGTCTTGGGCCTAGCTGGGGGCAATCTTGTCTGGGGTGAACAGACTTGTCACAGCCCCAACAGGTTTGATCAGGAGAACTTTCAAGAGGAGTGTGTGTCATCTGTACCTTATCCATGACCAAGGTGTTAATGGAGGCCATCATGGCTACAGTGGGGCCCACACCATGGTCCAAGTCACAAGTGACAACAACACATTTATGAATATTATCTTTGCTTACAGCTGCCAGAGCACTGGGAGTGCAGGCATTAATGCCCTCCCATGAATGCTGCTTGATGAGCCTGTCTTTGGTTGGACCAGAATCAACCTTCCATTCCACTACCTCAGTCACATGGGACAGGAATTAAGTGGAGCACTCTCCAGACTGCTGAACAAGATCACAAAAGTAAGAAGAAGCTTTCCAAGTAGTACAGGCCTTAAGGCCTGTAAAAGCAAGATTAGCAATCTGGTTAAGCAAGCATGGAATGTAATAGTGACCCGAGTGACTGAGTTAATCTACGGCCCCCAGTCTGAAGCATATTGAAAGTAACGATAAGAATATGTTCCAAATTAATCCTACCCTGGTTCTCATGCAGGTGATGATATCCAGACATCCAATTAAGAAACACAGCAGGCTCAAGCACTGCCTTAAGGAGATTATATCAACTATAATAGGTATGGAGGTACATGTCCTCATTACTACAGTACTTGCTCAATATAAGGGAAAGCTGGACCAGAATTGTTGGCAGCCTTCTGATTAGTGTCAAGTTTGCCAGCGGAGTAGGAATCCAGGCCCTACTTGATATATCAGGGCTAAGATTGACATGGAAAGCCTCACGATATATGTGAGAAGAATGAGGCCCAGGGGGAAAGACAATCCTGCAGGACGGACAGGGACCACAGGAGCAGCCACTATAGAAGTTATCACTGGAAGGCAAAATCCCCCTCAGTCACACCAGGTGTAAGCTAGAGGTATCTCAGATTGGGCAGGAGGGGAAGAGCTATTAGGAGGGACCTGGGACAGCAGGACTAGAGGACAATTTGGAGCTAGACATCAGGAGGACTAGAGTAGAACCACTCTCTTCCTCATAGATGAAATCAACCGGTTTACCCTGTGAAACTGGGGCAGCATCAGTAATGGAAAGGTAAATATTAGCCCAACCCTGGCAGTGTTTGTTATGGGTAGGCACAATTTCATCTTGGGAAGAATTCTGAAGACTGGCAATGATTGCAAGGAGGATGGGGACCAAGACCAAAAGAAGGGAATCTAAGACTGTACTTCAAGCTTGTGGGCAAGGAAGGGAACACACATCCAGAGGTCAGGGTCCCAAATGTTCTTCAGAGTTAACTAGGGGGCCCAACTAACAACTTTTCCAAAAATTGGTCTAGGTCATGAATGTTAACCTTAATAGCATGAGTAACCAAAAAAGTTTTGAGTGCTCTAATCTGGGGTTTATTGATGATGGAGGGGAGAAAGCCCAAACCAAAGAGAGCGAAGGAAACAAGCAACAAAAAAATATGACAAATATGAACAGCAGAGGCAATGAAAATCACATACTAAGCAGAGGACTTCTTCAGGTGTAGCTTAAAGTCCCTCTTCCTGCACCATGTCCCTGGGATAGAAAGGCATTTGGGAGCCTTTCCATGGTACCACTACCTGGGAGATCAGCCACTATGTCTGGTACTGTGATGAATCCAAACCAAAAGTAAAAACGAGCAAAGACAAAGAAGACAGAAATGATGTTTGTATTCTAACCCTCAAACTGAGATCAAAAATAAATTATTTTGGTTGCCAGGGCTAGTGAACAAACAAAGACAAAGAAGACAAAAAAGATGGCTGCAGCACTCTCAGTTGTAGCATACTAACTCAGATAAAGACAAAGAAAGAAAGGGAGGCTGCCACACACTCATCATTGGGATTAACAGATGAAAAAGACAAAAATGAGGTCTGCATGGTCACCTTCATGGGACCTACAACATAAAACACTATGAGTGAACTCACTAAAGAAGCTAGAACTTAAACCTGGAACTATTATCAAAGTCAATAACCTGTTGATAGATAGATCAAGGATATCAGTGGTGAACCAACTGTTACAAAATGCATGCTCTAAATCATGAGACTTTATTGAGCAACTCCTTATTTATTTTTGATTTCTACCTAATAGAGTGAATTTTGAACCTTAGGACAAAGTCAGCACTGGTGATTGGTACAGTAGATTGGAATATATTTATTTCAGGACAGAGGCCATTTGACATGGCCTTAAGCCCCATCTAGCACCTGGAGTCTCTGGTTTTGTCAATGAATTGCCAAGGCCCAGCTTCTCATCTTCATATGTAGGAAATTTTATCATAGTAATGAAAGTGGAACAAATATAAAGAAGTGAGAAAGTGAGAATTAGCAGAACCACTTTAATAACTACTAATAAAATGTGATGTAAGCAAGTATCAAGAAGAGAGCTACATATACTGAGGACATTAATGAGTATCTGCTTAGTCTAATTAGAGCAAACCTAATGACAATTTTACAGAAAGAGAATTTGCTTGAACCATGCCATTACTGCTCAAATAATAAATGTCATTCTTCTGGAATTTAAGTACTGGAAATGTATACCTGTACTTACTACATTTTGCTTACTCTGGTCATTTTATAGTATAATTTTGACATTCATAAGAACACACATGATCAATTACTGCTTCGTATTTAACAAATCTTCATAAAAATGCACAAACTATTTACGATTATTATCAATGGAAGAATAAAATTAACAAAAGCCATGTCTCTGGAGTACTTTACATTATAGAAGTTAATCTTTCTAAAGGGATTTTTTGTGGATAGCCCTGGTCTTGTATTTTGATGCTAATTCCAGTTTCTTTGGAGATACTGCAGAGGTGAATTAGTATACAGGTGACTTTGTGAACCTTCTGCCTACCTTAATTTGTAAAATAAAGTATTGAACCGGTGGGTGGCTGATTGGTCAGTAGAAGAGGTAGGTAGAGCTAGGAGTTGGGAGGAAGAAGGAACAAGAGGGGAGGAGAGGAGAGAAGGTGTCCTTGGATGTCTACTTGTCGCTCCCAGTCTAGTGTAGTTACAAATATCAATGTTAGGTAATTGGGTTAACAATTCTAATTGTGTGGTCATCTTGTATATTGAGTATTTGCTAATATATAAATCCATTGGATAATCTTAAGTATTAAGAATCTTATTTGTACTGGGCACTAGAATTGATATACCTGCTACATGGGGGTGGCAGAGTTGGCCCTTGAGACATGCTTAAAACCATGGCCTCCAAGGAGCTGACCAGCAGAGGCAGCAGCCATGCCTATACATCATGAGTCCTGCTTGAGACCCTGGGCAGTCAGTGTCATTAGTGTGGGAACTTAGAACTAGAACATGGTGGTCAGGAGCTAGCAGGACCAGAGTGCACCATTTTTTCTAATACCTCCCACTACAGAGCTTTCATTTATTGTCTTCTGTTCAGTTATGCTGAGCTAGCCTCACTTCTGAAATGATGGTAAAGAGAGAAATCTCATAACTTTAAAGCCAGAGGGAATGTCTGCAACTACAAGATAGAATTCTTCATTGAATTCTTCATGCTATGACTTGGGAAACACTTGTAGTCCTTCTGCTAGAGTATTGACAAGAGAGAGAGAAAGAGAGCGAGAGCGAGAGCGAGAGAGAGAGAGAGAATGAGAGAGAGCGAGAGAAAGCGAGAGAGAGAGAGAGAGAGAGAGAGAGAGAGAGAGAGAGAGAGAGAGAGAGAGAGAGAAATTGAGAGAGAAAGAGAGAAAGCACCTAGGTCTTTCATTGGATTTCACCATGGTAAAAGTCATACAGTTTTCCACAGGTATCAACTTAATATGTTTTCTTATTAAAATGTGGGTTACTAAATATAAGGTATTTTTGTCTTTTGTATTAGCTGTGTTGCTCAAAGCAAATATTAGAGATGTACTGCATTTATAATTAAAATGTTTAAATTAGCAAGAACCAATGTAAATACAAACTTAAACGTGCATATGATCTTATATCCATGTCTTCCCAGCTTTTGTAGGAAACAGTATAAGATGTATGAGTTTGAAGCAGCCAGATGTTCAAAGTGCAATTTTATTAAATAAATACATATCATGGCAAACACAAAATATCCATACAATGCAAATTCCCACATGGACTCTACCTTACAAATGAAGACTTTCTGTATCTAAAAGTTAACTGAAGTGATTGTGTCTCAGATCAATGTCAGCATATCATAAGTATCATAAAATTTCATCAAAATGCCTGCCCAAAAATATCCTAGAGGGGTTGTATAGATAAGAAAAGCTCCATAGACCTCAGCACTACAAAAAGAAATTCATATTCATAATTACACATTATAATTAACATTATAAAAACTTAGTAACCAGCATTTATACCTTTACAAATATATATATAATATATATAATATATATGCAAATTATATGTATACTTTTTATATATAAGCAACATATGTTATATATACATATATATGTATAGGTACACATATATATGTATGTATATTAAAACTGGCAAAGAGAAGAGCCATGGATTAGAAAGAGAATAAAGAATTGCAAATATTGTATGTTTTACATAAAGAACAAAATAGAAAACTGACAGAATTTTAGTATAATTGCATTAATAAATATATTTTAAAAATTATCTCGAGTATATTTCAAATCTTGAATGATCATATTTATCAGCAATATTTGTCACAACTAAACAAAATTAAGTCAAAATCTCTTATAGACACCCGACAAAAATGAAGAGGTTAAAAGTACTTATTTTGCCTTATCATTGAGACAAAGTCCATTTGCAAGAGAGCTATACAGTGACTAGCTGATTGTACAAAGTTGCCCAAACACAAAATGTTGATTCTGGGGATGCATTATAGAATCTCTAGACTGCCTGATCACACTTGTGTCTTAAGAAGACTCTCCATGGGTCCAGTTGTGGTTTTGGTGCTCAGTCTGTCCTTTCTGCTTTTCCTCTCATTGTGGAGACAGAGCTCTGGAAGGGGAAAGCTCCCCCCGGCCCTACTCCTCTCCCAATTATTGGCAATTTCCTCCAAATCAGTGTGAATGACATCCACCAATCCATAGACAATGTGAGTATGCCATATTCTTTCAAGTATATTGCAAAGGGATCTATAAGTCATGCTACTTTCAATGAAATTATATTACTGGAAAAATACTGTGAAAATGAGTATAAAGTCAAAAACTGTAAAGTTTTATCTTCTAACTTTTGATTCTAATTCTGGTCAGAAAATTAGGAATGTCCTATGGTTCAGAGTCAAGTACCTGAAATATATCATTTTATAGATATGTGAGACAGATATAATACATATGTCTCAAGTGTTAGGTGCTTCTTGTCATATTGAGGCCAGGCAGTCCTTTGCTGCATATGTGTTGAGGCCCTCAGACCAGCACGCCTATGCAGCCTGGTTAGTGGCCCAGTGTCTGAGACATCTCAGGGGTCTGTTTTAACTGAGACTGCAGCTTTACTATGGGGTCACCCACCTTGCCTTCTTCCAGACTTTCCCTAATTCAACCCAAGGGATCCCTGTCTTCAGCCCAGTGATTGGGTGCAAGTATGTGCATCTGTCACAATCCTCTGCCTGTTGGGACTCTCAGAAGTCAGCCAGGCAAGGATTCTGTCTGTAAGCACATCATAGTGTACACACACACACACACACATGCACACGCACATGAACACACACACACACACACACATACAGTATACAAAGCTATGTCTTCTTGAAATATTACTTTTTACAATCATTTTCTATTATTTTGACTAAAAATGAAGGGCAAAAACTATTTTATTCCATGAATCAGAATTTAAGACATGAATTGTTCTTGGACTTCACATTAGTCAAATCTTGGATTTGACTCTGAAGAATTTACTGGTGTCTGATTTGAAGTAAATCCAATGTGCAAGAACTCATACAGGAAGTAAAACCATACTCAATATGTGGTAACATATGTGGCATTTTCCCAATCACTTTTTATTCCATTTATAGCCTGTAACTTGAGCCTATAATGCTGATTAATGAGAATGGGACTACCCTAAGATTCTATATGCTATGGTACTCTGTACCCACTTTATGTACATTTGTAACAATTGATGAGAATTGAATTTGAAGATTAGTGGTAATCTAAGGTTGTAGATTTCTATTCTTTATCACGAGGCTCTCTGCTTTTAATAGGAAGTGTTCCCCAGCTTGTTCTGCACCCCTCATCTAACTGTTGAAGTCCATTTCATTATGAAGTTACCATGAAAGTGTTGGTCAAGTATCAAAAAATGAGCCAAGCAGTGGTGGCACATGCCTTTAATCCCAGCACTTGGGAGGCAGAGGCAGGTGTATTTCTGAGTTTGAGGCCAACCTGGTCTACAGAGTGAGTTCCAGAACAGCCAGGGCTATACAGAGAAACCCCGCCTCGAAAAAAAAAAAAAAAAGAAAGAAAGAAAGTATCAAATAATGAATAAGCAGAGAGTTAATTTGGGGTCTCCTTAGTTTTATAAGAACTCTGGAAATAAATGTGGATATTTTACTTCAATTTCTTTGTGTTATATGGTTAATATCTTAGTGTGATAATTTTCTAGCTTTAGTGTGTCAACATCTTGGGAGATTATCTGGCGTACTGTAGCCCATTGGCATATAATAACCATCATAATGTAAGAAGTTATACAAATTTAAACTGGGTTTTTCTGAATAAAAATATTATAACACTGTTACAATAAATATTTAAATCGGCGATATTCAATCTGGCTTTTCTTGATCAGCCACTATGTGCCCGAATAGCTTAGGCCTGCAATCACTGGCCAGGTTCAGGTGGCGAGAGACACTGCCTCTGCTACCCATGAGATGCTAGCATGGGTGATAGCTCTGCCAATCTTCCACACTGTCTCTACAAGGCTGGGCAGTGTCCAGATTATCCCACCATGCACACGGGCCTGGTAGGAGACTCTAATACTTAGATTATCCAAAGACTTTATGTATTAGGTAATGCTCAATAACAATATATCCACACATTCAAAGGTTTAACCCAATACCCAACTTAGATATATTAGCTATCTTTGACTGCTAGAGACAGGTGCGTGTCCACTTCCATGTACCCCTCTCTCTATGGTGCTCTCTTCCCTACTCCTACTCTTTCTTCTCTTCTTCTTTTTACTCTTCCCCTTCCTCTCCTTACTCCTTCCACCTTAGCTCCTTCCAGCTTGTGGGGAAAAATATCCCACTACATATCACAGTACTATTATCAGGCTTAATAGATTGACTATATGTACAATACAGTAAATTTTTTCACTAATATTTATGTTTGCTATTTCTTTCCAGTTTTCTAAAACCTATGGCCCAGTGTTCACTCTGTATTTCGGCTCCCAGCTTAGTGTGGTATTGCATGGCTATAAGGCAGTGAAAGAAGCCCTCATTGATCATAGGGAAGAGTTTTCTGGAAGAGGAAAGATCCCAATTTTTGATAAGATTTCTAAAGGACGAGGTAAGTGTGTGTGTGTGTGTGTGTGTGTGTGTGTGTGTGTGTGTGTGCTTATGTGTGTACTGTGCAGTTTCCAGAGTGAGCTGAAAGGTGGAGAGTAGAGATCATGCTTGCTTTTCAGTCACAGGTTGGAACTCCACTATGGCTGACAACTCTCGGTTCTTCTATGTCTGGAATTTCCAGTGTCTGTTCCAATTTCTCTATTTTTGTACTATTTTATCTTTTTACAATCTTTTTAGTTGTACTCTCCTGGTCTGCCCTCCCACATTTCCTCATCCTATTCCTCTTCCATGTCTCCAAGAGAGTGTCCCCTGCACCCTGCACTCTACCAGGCCTCTGCAAACCCTAGGGCCACAAGTCTTTCGGGGGATTAGGTCCCTCTTCTCCTTCTGAGGACCATCCTGGCAGTCCTTGTCAGTATTTGTGTCCAAGGACTTGGAGCAGCTCCTATATGCTGCCTGGTTGGTGGCCCAGTATCTGAGAGATCTCAAGAGTCCAGGATAGTTGACTCTACTGGTCTTCCTATGGGGTCAGTCTCCTCCACATCTGCTTCAAGTCTTTTTCTAATCCAACCATAGGGGTCCCTGAATTCAGTCAAATTGTTGGGTATAAATAACTGCATTTCTCTCTCATCTATGTGTTGAGCCTCTCAGATGACAGTCATGCCAGTATCCTGTCTGTAAGCACACCATAACATCAGTAACAGAATCTGGCTTTGAAGACTCCCTTTGAGATGGATCTTAAGTTACACTAGTCACTGGACCACGTTTCAGTCAGTCTTATCTCTATATTTGTTCTTGCAGGTCTTTTAGACAGGAAGAATTTTGGGTCAGAGTTTTGACTATGAGATGATAAACCCTCCTCTCCACTTGAAGTCATGTGTTTCTCCTAGAGGTGTACTTTATACGTTCCCTCTCCCCACTATTGAGCATTTCATCTAAGGTTGCTTCCTTTGAGACTATCAGGACTCAAAGGAAGCAACCTTAGATGGATAGTCTCTCACCTCCCAGGTCTCTGATACATTTAGAGGGTCCCCCTACCTCCTGTCTCTCAAAGTTATATATTTGCTGCCCTGAGAGCTTCTCTCCTGTGTCCTCCATATAACTGATCCTGTTTGACTTTTCCCACCCCTCCATTTACTCCTAACTAGATCACACCTTCCCTCTGCCTCCTGTGATTGTTTTTTTCTTCCTCTCAAATGGAACTGAAATATCCTCTCTGGAGACCTTCAGCTTGTTAACATTTTTGAGTAATGTGGATTGTATCCAAGATATTCTGTACTTTTTTGTCCAACACCCACTTATTAGTGACTACATAATATGCATGTCCTTCTGGGCCTGAGTTGCCTCGCTCAGGATGGTATTTTCTATTTTCATCAATTTGCCTACAAAACTCATGATGTCTTGTTATTAATAGAATGAAATGCAGTAGTATTCCGTTCTGTAAATGAACCACATATTCTGTATCCTTTCTTTCTTTTTGGGATATCTGGGATTTTTTCCAGCTCCTGGATATCACAAATAAGGCCACTATGAACATAGCGGAGCATGTGCCCCTAAGGTATCGTAGGACATCTTTTAGATATATGCCCAAGAGTGGTATAGCATGGTCTTATGGTAGATCTATTTACAATGTTCTGAGGAAATTCCAGATTGATCTCCAGAGTGGTGGTATCAGTTTGCAATCCCTTCAGCAATATAGGAGAGCTCCTCTTTCTCTACATCCTCACCAACATGTGCTATCACTTGAGATTTGATATTAACCTTTCTGATTGCTTTAAGGAGGAGTCTCAGGGTCATTTTGGTTTGCATTTTCCTAATCACTAATGACTTTGAACATATATTTAAGTACTTCTCAGCCACTCAGGATTCCTCTGCTGTGAATTCTCTGTTTAGTTCTATAATCCATTTTTGATTGGGTTGTTTGATGACTTGTTGGGTAGCTTCTTGAGTTCTTTACATATTTTGGATATTGGCCCTCGATCAGATGTGGGGTTAGTGAAGACATTTTCCAATCTTTAGATTACTGCTTTGTCCCATTGAATATGTCCTTTCCCATATAGAAGATTATCAGTTTCATAAGATTTCATTTATTAATTGTTGATGTTAGAGCCTGAGCCACTGGGGATCTGTTTAGGAAATCTACCCTACCCTACCCCTCTTCCATGCCAATGACTTTAAGGCTCTTTCCTACTTTGTCATCTATTAGATTCAGTGTATCTGCTGTTAATTTGAGGTCCTTAATCCACTTGGATGTGAGCTTTGTGCAAGGAGACAAATCTGTGTCTATTTTCATTTTTCAACATACTGACTGCCAGATAGCTCAGCACCATATATTGAAGATGTTTTCTTTTTTTCCATTGTATATCTTTGTCTTCTTTGTAAAAGATCAAGTCTTGGATTTATTTTTGTGTCTTCAGTTCTATTCAGTTTATTGACCTGTATGTCTCTTACCAATATGGTGCCCTTTTGAATCACTGTTACTATGTAGCACAGCTTGAAGTAAGGGATGGTGGTTCCCCAGAAGTTCTTTTATTGTTAAAAATAGTTTTTGCTATCCTTGTTTTTTGTTTTTCCATATGAAATTGTAAATTTCTGTTTATAATTTTGTGAAGAATTGAGTTGGAGTTTTGATGGGAATTGCATTGAGTCTGTAGATTGCCTTTGGCAGAATGGCAAATTTAATATGTTAATCCTACATATCCATGAAAATGGGAGATCTTCCTATTTTCTGAGGATTTCTTAGAATTCTTTCTTTAGACACTTGAAGTTTCTGTCATATAGATCTTTCACTTGTTTGGTTAGAGTTACACCAAGAAATTTTATAACATTTTGACTATTGGGAAGTATGCTGTTTCTTTATTTCCTTTCTCAGACTGTTTAACATTTGTTGAATGAAGGCTACTGATTTGTTTGAGTTAATTCTATATTCATCCAATTTACTAAAGTTGTTTATCAGGTGTAAATGTTTATTGGTTGAATTTTTCAAGTGGCTCATGTACACTATCATATTATTTTCAAATAATGATACCATTACTTCTCCTTTGCCAATTTGTATTCCTTTGCTCACTCTTTGTTGTCTTTCTGCTCTAGCTACAACTTTGAGTACTAAATTGAATAGATATGGGGAAAATGCAGCCTTGTCTTGTGTCTGATTTTAGTGGGACTGCTTGAAGTAACTTTCCACTTAACTTTATATTTGCTATTGGTTTGCTGTATATTACTTTATGTTTAGATATGGGTCTTGAATTCTTCATCTCTCCAATACTTTTAACATGAAGGTGTGTTGTATTTTATCAATGGCTTTTTCTATGTTTACTGAGATAATTATGTGATATTTTCCTTTGAGTTTGTTTATATAGTGGATGACATTAATGGATTTTAGTATATTAAATCAACCTTGCATCTATGGAGTGAAACCTACTTGAACATCGTAAATGATGTATTTGATATGTCCTTGTATTCAGATTTCTATAATTTTATTGAGTGATTTTTGCATTGATATTCATAAGCAAAATTGTTCTGAAGTTCTCTTTCTTTGTTGGGTCTTTGTGTGGTTTACTACATATTATGATAATTGAGGCTTTAATGAATGAATTAGGCATCATTCTTCTGTTTCTATTTAGTAGAATATCTTTAGAAGTGTTGGTCTTAATCTTCTTTGAAGAACTGGTAGAATTCTGCACTAAAGCCATCTGGCCCTTGTCAGTTACTGGTTTGGAGGTTTGTAATGATTTCTTCTATTTCCTTAAGGGATATGGCACTGTTTCAATAGTTTACCTACTTTTGATTTAAATTGGTTATGTGATATCACTCTAGAAAACCATCCATTTTATTTACATTTTCTTTTCTTATTGGATATTTTATTTATTTATTTTTCAGATGTTATCCCTTTTCCCCATTTCCCCTCCCTAAAAACCCCCCTATCCCATTTCCCCTCCTTCTTTTTGTTTTTATATCATTTTAATTATGTGCAAGTATTAAGGTCAGTTCTAGGTTGAAAAACTAGCAATTCAATAGATGCAAATAAGCACAGAACAAGCAAGAAAATAAAAATCAATGAGCTAGAAAGACAATAAACAAATTTCCATGAACACTCTCATTGTCACTGTTTCTAATGACTTTTCAGGATAACCAAAGTATCTGAGCCTACTTCTCTGTCATTTCCATCTCTGCATCTACATTTTCAAGTTTTGTTGAGTATAGGCTTTTTGGTAGGATCTCTTGATTTCTTTGAATTTGCTCAGTATTTCTTTTCTTTCTTTTTTTTTTTTGTCTCCCTTTTCATTTCTGATTTGGCCCTTTAGTTAGTTTAGCTTGGGGTTTATCTATCTAGTAGACTTTCTTAAAGAACCAGGTTTTTTGTTTGTTTGTTTTAATGATTCTTTGTATCAGTCATTGTTTCTACATGGTTTACTTCCACTCTGATGCATCCTGCTTGTGCATTCAGTCTGTTAGCTTATGACTTTTATTGGGAATTGAGTCCATTGATATTGAAAGGTATCAAAGACTGATGATAGTAACTGTTATATTTGATGCTGAAGGTAATCTACTTGTGTTGGAGTTTTGCTTCTAGAATTCTTTGTAGGGCAGGATTGGTAGATAGATATTGTTTAAATTTGGTTTTGTCATAGAATATTTTGTTTTCTCCATCTATAAAAACTGAGAATCTTAAAGGATATAGGAGCCTGGGATGACATTTGTGTTCCCTTAAGGTTTGCATGACTTCTATTTTGTTTCTTCTATCTATTAGGATCTCTGTTGAGAAGTCTGGTGTAATTCTGATAAGTCTACCTTTATATGTTGGCCATTTTCCCTTACAACATTCAATATTCTTTCTTTATCCTGTACATTTAGTGTTTTGATAATTATGTGATATAAGGATTATCTTTTCTGATCCAATCTATTTGATGTTCTGTAGATTTCTTGAACATTTATGGCCATCTCTTTCTTTAGGTTGGAGAAGTACTCTATAATTTTGTTGAAGATGTTTTTGGATCTTTTGAACTGGAATCTTTGCTCGCTCCTATTCCTAATGTTATTAGATTTCATCTTTACATTGTATCCTGGATTTCCTGGTTGTTTTGGGTTAGGAGTATTTTATGTTTTGAGTTTTCTTTGACTGATGTGTCAATTTCTTCTAAGGTATCCCCTATGCCTGAGATTCTTTCTTCTATCTCTCATATTCTGTTGTTGATCTTGCATGTACAGCTCCCGACCTCTTTCCTATGTTTTCTATTTCCAGGGTTTCCTACATTACTCTATTGTTTCTACTTCCATTTTTCTGTTTTATACTGTTTTGTTCAATTCCTTCACCTGCTTGATTATATTTTCCTGTATTTCTTTAACGCAATTATTTGTTTCCTCTTTAAAGACCTCTACCTTTTTACCTGTGTTGTCCAGTATTTCTTTCAGTGAGTTATTTAAATCCTCCTTAAAGGATTCTATTATCTTCATGAGGTAAGATTTTAAGTCAGCATAATGGTTTTCAGGTGTTTTGGGGTACCCAGGGTTTGCTGTGATGGAAGAACTAAGTTCTGATGTTGCCAAAGCATTTTGGCTTTTGTTGCTTATGTTCCTGTGTTTGCCTCTCGCCATATTGTTATTTCTGGTGTTACCTCACCTGGATGTGTCAGTCTGGGGCCTGCCTCCCATGTCTCTGGGTTGCTGCAGGCCTCCTGGGAGATTTGTAGCCCTACCTGTACCAGATGTCGTTGGAGGCCTTCAGACTGTGGCATCTGTTGCCCTGTGGCATTTTCAGCAGAACTCCTGAAAATGCCTTCTGACAGTTGGTTCTTAATAGGGGCAGACAAACTGATGATCTGCTCTGGCTGAATTTGCAAGCCAGAAGAGAGGAGAAGTTAGGGCAGAGGGGATCTGGACAGAGTCTGCTGGGCTCCTGGAGGTTCTGAGCTGCTGTAGTTATTTGGGAGGATTCTTTACCTGTTGCCCTGGTTGCAACACATCTCCTGGAATGCCTTCAGACTTTCGATTCATAGGCATCGTCATGCTGACAATGTGCCCTGGTGGAAGACACAGGCCAGAAAGGCTGTTTTAATTTCTTTAGACATTGGTTTTAGCCGTGAAAATGTATGGAAACTCACAAGGCAATTCACGCTCAAGACCCTGAGGAATTTGGATATGGGAAAAAGGACCATTGAGTCCTGAGTGCAAGAGGAAGCACAGTGGCTCATGAAAGAACTAAAGAAAACCAATGGTAAGTGCAGGTTAGACTCTGACTTTTATATCTTGGTCTATGCATGTATTTATGAGTCAAGTTTTTCTATTTTATTCTAGGATTGTTTTCTAATGAGATGTCGTGAATATGGGTCTCATGTTAATTTTAACGCATTATTGGAGTCATAAATTCACCTAAGTAAAAATGTCATCTGTTTTTTGCATGTCATCATAAGAGGATGACAGTCAATGATACTGTTTACCATAGAAGTGGAAGGAACACGCACTAGGTAGCATTTGTTTTCTTATTATATTTTTTCTTTTTTGAAGATTAATAATTAGCACTGCTTCATTCAAGTTTCTAAGTGACCTTTTATAGTCATGGTTTTAGTTCCTGGTAACAGTGGTGTAAGGGATTTTTTTAATTTCACAGGTGATCATAATATAATTTTGATCGACTATTGTATCTCTGATTTTATCATGACTTAAAAATGTTATCATTATTTCCTCTTGCATAACATTTATTATTTTGATTAATAACTTTTACTAAAACACACTTCAAAACAAAATATTCAAGATTTATGCACAAATGCAAACTAGTAAAATGATTTATTTACCTGAGCTAGAAACAGTTTCACTGCCTCTAGTATTTCACTATGTGTGTATCATCTTGGAAGACATTTTTATCATTACAGATTTTGTATTACAAAATTGATGGCTGCAACTTTGTTAAAACTCTTGATGATACTTACCTAGTATGTTCAAAGTTAGTATTACATTGTTTATTAAATTTTATACATGAGAACATTTTAACATATTTCTCTACTTCAAACTACAGTAAAGAAAAACAATCATATTTTCATGTTAATGGTATGCACACAACAAAAATAATCTCAAAGTCTCTCAATTGATCCTCTCTGCTTAAAAGAACTTCATATTGTATATAGAATTGTATACTGTAAGTTGTTAAATTCCTGATATAACATCAGTAATCTCAGTGAATTCCACATATTTAATTGTCCAATTTTGTTAACTCATGTGACTTTTGTTTGAATATACATAATTTAAGATCACCTTCAACTCAACATCACAATTTTGTTCCTTTGCTCACAGAAATTTCACTACCGGAAGCAATAAAAAGAAATAATCATGCTCTCATAGATTGCTATTATTTTTCTTTCTGTTAAAAGAAAAAAAAACACTGACAAAACTAAATTGGTGGTGGGTTCACAGAGCTTACTATTTTGGAAACCAGTGTAGGTCCTCAAAGAAGGAACTTGGAGGCATTAACTGCATGAGAAAACATGAGGGAGAGATGCTAAGTGGCGTGTTCCCCTTGTCTTTCTCATTGAATTTTTCTTACAACCCAGAATCACAAGCTCAAGACTGGAATTGACCATAGTGTGTTTAGCATACCCCATCATCAGTGATGAACAAAGAGTAAAATGACATGACCCCAGATTAGTTTCATGGAGCTACTACTAAACTGAGGGTCCTTCTTTGTATTGACTAGAGTTTGTGTCAACTTGAGTAAAACTAACCAGCATAATAGCTGATTATTTATTTGTCTTATATGTGAAGTATATCACATGATCAATATAATCCACATACTTTAAACATTTTTGTAATATAATATCTTGATAGTTAATAGAAAATATCCATAAATTTTTGTTTTGCTTAAATATGTTAAATGTGAAGTTTGGCCATGTTGAATATTTACTTTCCTTTCAGTAAATGCTATTGTTCCTATTGTACTGGTACTGAGTTGATATTATGAAGACATTTTTCTAATTGTATATTATGCATTTTGGCTTTGCTTACTCTTATAGTAATTTTTTCCTTCCAATTCCTCCCATTATTCTTGGTTACCACCATATTTTGTTTTTATTACACTTTCATAATTGATATTACCATGAAATATATATTTCTTAGATAGTAAAATTTATTGTTTGAAAGATGAACCTATAAAACTATTCATTGGTTTTGTCATAGTCTTTGCTTTACCTCGTATGGATATTAAAAAGTAAATACTCACATAACATTTACTCATATAACTGTATCATGAAATGCTTAGCAGTTATTGACATTACATTTTCTTCATACATAAGAGTGACATATTCTGTTCTTTTAATTTGTTCCTTCAAATTCTACAATGTCACTACATGTATATTATTCCAAGTATTTCAACTACACTTTTCAAATAGATCATGATTTTTTGCTTTGTTTTGTTTTGATTTTGGTTATATTTTTATTTTGTTTTTGTTATTGTTTTGTGTTTTTGATTTAGAGATAGTATTTATCTGAGTAGATCTGACACTCATGGAACTAGATTATAGATTAGACTGACCTTGATCTCCGATGTGCTCATAGATCATAGACCTGACCCCTGAAGATTTCCAGGATTGGTACTACTGACATAGATAGGGACATTGAAGAATTTGATCCTCCACTTGTCCCTCACTCACACACAAGCACATTAACCCTACCAATCTAACAAAATTTCAGTGCCTCTTTAGCCTTGACTATGTCAAATCTCATTGGAATTATGGGGGTTTTTTTGTGTGAGAATGGAACCTATAGTGAGAAAATATAGCATACAAGAAAGAGCTTACAGGCTTAGTGGTCAAAATGTTTTCATGCCAGAACCAAGAATTCTTGTAGTCATTTCCCCTTCTTTTCAGAGAGAAGACACCAAAAAGTTAGAGAAAATACCTGAGCAATATTAAGCATATTCCATCAGACCTGTTCCCTCAAATCAACTTGCCTCATTTTGTTGCCAAGGTTGAGAGCATAGGAAATGGAAACAAGAGACTTATAGTCAACATGGATGACATTGTAAAGATCTACAGTGTATCCCAATCAGTATTTTGGTTGAGACCTGGGAGCACAGGCCCAGTTTAATGTCAAGAATGCTAATTTGTCAATAGATCTCAAGAGATGAATAAGTTGTAAGACATGTTGAATGAATATAACCAAAAATTAGTTCTCTAGCTTGATTTTTTTGAATACTGTAACACATCTACATGTCAATCCAAAGAAGCAAACAAAAGGTACTTCTTAGAAAGCTTGTTACTGCAAATATATATTAGATATAATACTATAAATTCTGAACATTCATTTCAAAAATGAAAAGAAAAAGTAAAATCTGGAGATTGTAACTCCAATCCAAAAACATAAGAAATAAGTAAAAAGGGAAAGAATATATTTACACATATTGAAGGAGATGCTTGATGCAAAGCTTTGAGTAGCTTTTTCATCAAATGGTCAGAAAAGATCTCTAAGAAAATATGTCATAAAAGAATGTGTCAAAGTGCTTCATTTCAAATTTCAACAGTCTATTAAATACATGGAGTAAGTATAGAAACAAATTTCTTGTAAGAGGAAATAAATTGATCATGAAAATACATCAGTGGTATAAGTCTGTCAGTACACCAAAGGTAGAACCTATGGAATTTGACAACAAAGATGAAGACAGTGACATTGATTCCATTTGAAAAGATGAATGCAACATAGCTTAACAGTGTAATGCTGAAAACTATTCTCCATTATCAACCAGAAGTACAACATTTACACACAAACACTCCAGTGGCTTAACATGCTATACCTAGTTCAAAAAAGCTATTAGTGTGAGTGGTCTATGAATAAACACAGAGACCTCCAGGAAATCCATGTATATCATTGAACTACTGGTATTTGCATAGTTATTGCATGTTTCTTTTGGAACACTAGTTGGGGCCACATTTGGAAGACATTTACATGGTTATAAAAATAAAGATTTTATTCAGGACATTCTTCATACTTTAAGTTCTGAATAACATATGCTGAAATAATTGGCTAATTTTTAGGATGTTATACCATTTAAATCAAGTTCTTGTATGTGTTAATGAACAGTCTTATTTAAGTAGTAACAATGAAATCTAAGTCAGGTTTAAGGTCAAGATGATGATGATTCTTCACCAGATTAGTACCTAGCAGTTAACTGTATTCATAACCAAGTTACTGCTTACAGTTTCTAAAGTCCCTTAACCCATTAACAAGTTCAAATGTATGTATATTTTTAAAGAATTTAACAATTTTCTTAAACTTTTAGGCTCACCCTGTGATCCCCAATTCATCATAGTATGTGCTCCCTGCAACGTGTTGTGCTCCATTATTTTCCAGAATCGTCTTGATTATGAAGATAAGGATTTACTTAGCCTGACAGAAAAATTGAAGGAATGCGCTAAATTATTGAGATATCCCTGGTTTCAGGTAAAGCCATGGTCTTTACTTCTGAAAACACATATATCATCTTTCTCACAGGTTAGAATGAATAGGGAACAATTAGTCAGGTGGCCAGTACTACAATTCTGACTGTCATTACACAAAGAATATCTGGGAGTTCTAAGCCCTTACCTATACAAGCAGTAAATCTAAGTGGCAAAGGACAGGATTCCTTAAAACTGCAACCTGCCTATCCATGAATTTTCTTAGTGACTTCCACAGAATTGTTTGTAAAATCATTCCATTCACTAATTCAAGTATGGATAGTCACATATAAAACATTCTATTACAATGTTAATTCCTTTCCTGCATTAAAACAATTAAACACAGTTTCATCATATTACTAAACAAGAATACCTCAGCAAATAAGAAAGAGTATTAATGGCAATGAAAGCTTTAAGGAAAACTTAATAATGACAGTTGTTTGATGGGTCAGCTGGGATAATAGTTAGCAAGGAGACAGGTCAAAATGAAAATAAAAACATTTTAATACTGTGTGGACCATAAATACACTCACAGAAATGTCCAAGCCTGAATTGGCATTGAATGCACACTTCAAGCAAAATGCTTCTGTGATCATGCACAATTATAAAGTGGTGTAGTATGCTATTGATTTCGGGATATTTTGAAGCTCCACCTACTTCTAAACAGACATTGCATATCAGAACCTGGTAGATAGAAATAAAACTCAAGATCTAGATTTTTTTTTTATATATGAAGTCCCCCCCAAATTTAAACTTTTATAGTTACTTTAAAAGTGTGAGTGTTAGGAACTTATATCCTATGGTTATTCAAACTTGTAGAACAGAGTTTATCTGAACCATCGGGTAACTAACATGAACATTCTTTAAATTTAAAAGATATGTGAATATGAAATTATTTATTATGGTCTTTGTTCATTTTATAGAAATTTGTCTCTATTATAATGGAGAATTATTATATATGTAAACAAACCACCCAAGATAAGTTTTGTTCATTTTGATCTGTCAATGAAAACAGTCATGTATTATGTTATAAGCAAATTTTAGTTACTTCATTATATTGTATTCATTTATTAAATTCTTTCATTTTTTTGCAGGTTTGCAATGCATTCCCTATACTTTTTGATTATTGTCCAGGAAGTCATAACATAGTTTTAAAAATTTTTGCATATATTAAGAGTTATATTTTGGAGAAAATTAAAGAACATGAAGAATCATTGGATGTTACAAACCCTCAGGACTTTATTGATTACTTACTAATTCAACGACTTAAGGTAAACAGTTAATATATAATTATACAATTAGTGAATTGGTCAAGGATTGTATAGTTCATTGAATACTTACTAATATACAAGTCATGTTTAATATCATGCAAGTATCATTTGAAAAAATAGATTTTATTACATGTATGAGTATGGCTGGGAGTAGTAGAGTGAATTTGTTAATTTCAGCATATTGCCCTGTACTTTGAACTAAAAAAAAAAAAGAAAAGAAAAGAAAATTTAAATTAATCAAGTACAGTAGAAAGATAAGACAAATGGCAGATAAGATGAAACAAATTCCAACTTGGTTATAAATCATAAGTAGTCCTGTATTAACATGAACATTTTCATCATCATTAGACAGTATGTGGATCACTTGTATATCTTATGTATTTAAAACAATATGGACATACTTGCAACACTAGAACTTACAGAGGTTTTTAAATTGATGGTTGTGTTGTACCATTGGAAAGAGTAGATGGATGAAAATTCTGAGAAGAATTTTGAATGAATTTGCCCTAGTGAGGTTAACAATAGGTGTCTACTAGATGTGCTGTCAGGATTAACTATTGGCATTGTGTATTTTAGGAAAAAGACCCATTTTCCACTATTTCTTTGACACTCAAATTTATAAAACTATTGGTAACATTCAGGTTTGTTTTTAGGAGTCAGTTCTGTTCCCTTTGCCTTTGTTTATATCCTTTACTAGAGGTGCAGTGTCAGAGTTCCCCATTAATTAAACATTTTAACACTATTTTAAAAAAATCAAGACTATGGGTCCCTGGAATTTGCTACTTGTTTTTCATGAATGTTTGATAAATCTGCATCCGTTAAACTTCCATATGAATTTTAAGACATGTTGTCAATTACTGTAAGGAAACCAGTGAGGATTCATCCAGTGATAGCTCCTTTTTTTATGAATGTTGATTTTTATTCAATTGTATTATTATCATTATCAATATTTATTATTTTAATATTTTTCACAATCCCATCATTATCCTTCTCCAAGTATGCATTCTGACTGTTCCTCAATACATATGTCTTTCCCTGTCTCCAACAAGATGTACTCCCACCTCCAGCCCCAGTCAAATAGACCTCCCAACAACCTGGATGTTCAACTCTCTGGAAGATTAGGTGCATCTTCTCTCACTGAGGCCAGACAAGGCAGTCTTCTGCTGTATATATGTGCCAGGGGTCTCAGATTGTCTAAGATATGCTACTTGATTGGTGCTCAGTATCTCAGAGATCTCAAAGGACCAGGTTACTTGAGATTGCTAGTCTTCCTAAAAGGTTGTCCTATTCCTCAGCTTGTTTCAGCTTTTCTCTAGTTCAACCACAGGGGTACTGAGCTTCTTTCTGTCCATTGGTTGGAGAAAATATCTGCATCTGACTCTTTCAGCTGCTTGTTGGGCCTCTTGGAGGGCATCCATGCTTGGCTCATATCTGTAAGCACACCAGAATCAGTCTCTTAAGCTCCCTCTTGAGCTGGATATCAATTTTGGCCTGTCACTGGACATCCTTTCCCTCAGTCTCTTCTCTATTTTGTCCCGGTAGTCCTTTTAGAAAGAATAAATCTGTGTCAACATTTTTAACTGTGGGATGGCAACCTCATTCATCCACTTGATGTCCTGTCTTTCTACTGGAAGTGGACTCTACAAATTCCCTCACCCCACTTAAGGACATTTCACCTAAGGTCCCTCCCATTGAGTCCTGAGAGTCTTTCACTTCCTAGGTCTCTGATACATTCTAGAGGAAACCCTACCTCCTCTATACTGAAGTTGCATCTTTCCATTATTCCTGCTGGTCCTCAGGGTTTCAGTCTTGTTTCTCACACCATTACTTGATGATATTCCCCTTTTACTCTCTCTGTGCCCTATCCCACTGAGGGCCCTCATTTCTTCTACACCACCAGAGTTATTGTTTTATTTTTCTCCTTCCAAGTGGGATTGTGGCATCCTCATTTTGGCCCTTGAGTTTCATTCTTGAGTTCTCAGGATTGTATCTTGTCCTGTGTATACTGTATATTTTTGGTTAATATCTACTTATTAATGAGTACATACCATGCATATTCTTTTGAGTCTGAGTTACCTCACTCAAGATGATATTATTTGTTACATCCATTTGCCTGCAAAACCCAAGTTATCCTTATTTTTAGTAGCTGAGTAGTATGACATTGTGTGCATGAGCCACATTTTTTGTATTCTTTTTCCCTTTGTGGAACATCTGGGCTGGTCCCAGACTCTGGGTATCACAAATACGGCTACTATTAACATAGTGGAATAGGTGCCCTTGTGGCATGGTGGGGAATCTTTTGGGCTTATGCCCAGAGTGATATAGCTGGGTCTTCAGGTAGAACTATTTCCAATTTTCTGAGTATCCTCAAGATTGATTTCCAGAGTGGCTGTACCACTTTGCAATTTCACCAACAGTGGAGTATTGTTTCTCTTTCTCCACATCCTTGCCAGTGTGTGATGTCACCTGAATTTTTAATATTAACCATTCTGATTGGTATAAAGTAGAACCTCAGGGTTGTTTTGATTTGCATTTCACAGATCACTAATGACTTTGAAAACTTCTTTCAGTTCTTCTCAGCTATTTGAGATTCCTATCTTGTGAGTTCTCTGTTTAGATTTGTACCCCATTTTGATTGGTTTGGTTTGAGGTGGTTAGTTTCTTCAGTTCTATATGTATTACGAATAGTAGCCCTCTCTTGGATGTGGAGCTAGTGAAGATTTTTTCACAATCTATAAGTTGCTGCCTTGTCCTATTGACTATGACCTTTCCCTTACAGAAAGTTTCCAGTTTCCTGAGATCCCATTTATTAATTCTTTATCTTAGAACATGAACCATTAGAGTTCTGTTTAGAAAATTCTTGCCCCAAACCCCACACCCCTCCCACATACCAATGAGTTCTAGACTCTTTACCACTCTCTCTTTTACTATATTCATTATAACTGGTTTTAAGTTGAGGCCCTTGATCCACTTGGATGTGAGTTTTGTGCAAATTGAAACCTATAGTTCTATTTTTATTTTTCTGCATACAGACTTGCCAGTTAGACCAACAGCATTTTTTATGATGCTTTCATTTTTCCATCTATATATTCAGATTCTTTGTCAAAGGTCAAGTGTCCATAACTGTGTGATTTTATTTCTGGGTCTTCAATTTAATTCAATAGATCAACCTGTCTGACTCTATATGAATATCATGCAATTTTTAATTGCAATTGCTCTTTAGAATAACTTGAGGTTAGTGATGGTGGTAATCCCAGAAGATTTTTTATTGTTAAGAAAGTTTTCACTATTCTGTTTTTTTATTTTTTTATTTTTGCTTTTCCAGATAAATTTGAGAAATGCTCTTTCCATGTCTTTGAAGAATTTTGTTGGAATTTTGATTCAGATTATGTTAAATCTGTAGATTGCTTTTGGTAGGATGGGCATTTTTCTACGTTAATTTAAACAATCCATGAGCATGGAAGTTCTCTTCATTTTCTGAATTCTTCTTCAATTTCTTTATAAAAAGAATTGAAGCTCTTGTCATATAGATCTTTACTTGTTTCATTAGAGTTATCCCAAGATATTTTTTATTATTTGTGTCTATTGTGAAGTGTGTTGCTTCCTTAATTTCTTACTCAGCCCATTAATTATTTGCATAGAGAAAGGCTATTGGTTTATTTGAGTGAATTTTATATCCAGCCATATTTCTCTAGTTGTCTATCATCTGTAAGAAATTCTCTAGTATAATTTTTGTGTTGCTTATGTATACTATTATATCATCTACAAGTAGTGATACTTTGATATCTTCTTTGTCAATTTGTATTCTTTGAACTCCTTTTGTTGTCTTATCCATCTAGATAGAACATTGAGGACTATATTGAATAGATATGGGGAGAGGTGTCATCCTTGTATTGTACCTGATTTTAGGAGGATTGTGTCCAGTATCTCTCCATTTAATTTCATACTGGCTGTTGATTTGCTCTATACTGCTTTTATTATGTTTAGGTATGTTCCTTGAATTTCTGATCACTCCAATACTTTTAACATGAATGGGTCATGTATTTTGTAAAATACTTTTTCAGCATTTAATAAGATGATCGTGTGATTTTTTAATTTTGTTTATATAGTTGATTGCATTAATAGATTTTTATATATTGAACTAACCTTGCATCCCTGGGATAAAGCCTACTTCATAATGGTGAGTTATGGTTTTGATGAGTTCTTAGATTCAGTTTTGAGAATTTTATTATGTTTGCTTTAATATTCATACCCAATATTAATCTAAAATTCTCTTTTTTGTTGAGTTCTTCTGTGGTTTAGGCATCAGAATAATTATGGCTTCATAGAATAAGTTAGGTAGTGTCCCTTCTAGTTCTATTGTATGGACTAGTTTGAAGAGTATTGATATTAGCTCTTTTTTGAGTGTCTGATAGAATTCTGTAGTAAAGCTACCTGGCCCTGGGCTTTTTTTTTTTTTATTTTTTTTTGTTTTTTTTTTTTTTTTTGGCTTGGAATGTTTTTAGTGACTTCTATTTCCTTATGGGATATGGGTCTCTTTAGATAGCTTTCCTAATCTTGATTTAACTTTGGTGTGTGATACCTGTCTAGAAATTCATCCATTTCTTTTACATTTTCCAATTTTATTAAATATAGACTTTTGTAGTAGAATCATAAGATTTTCAAATTTCCTCAGTTTCTGTTGTTATGTCTCCTGTTTCATTTCTTTCTTCTTTTTATAATTTATTTTTTCTCAAATCGTAATTCATTCACACAGGGGTTATAAACACAGAAAGGCAGGATGTGGGTAAGGGAATGACACTGGAGTGTGGGTGTTCAAGGGGAATACAGATATCTTTCAGAACCGGGTATCTGCTGAGTGAAGGTTCAGGGGACAAGTCACTATGACTCTGCCTATGACTCGCTTGTCCTTATCCATGTTGGTATTGTCTGCCAAGGCTACCTATTTACAAGGTCTATGACTACTCAGGCTTGTAAATTTCCACAAAAGCTGCCTGTTT